CAATTAAACACAAAAATAAAAAATAAACTCTGACCCACAACCAGAAATAAGTAAAACAGAAATCAAGAATGCAATTCAAGAATTAAAAAACCAAAAGTCACCTGGAAAAGATGGAATAACAACAGAGATGCTGAAATATTGACACAAAAGAAATACCCGATAGCTGGAACCATGCAGAGACACTATTAATATTCAAAAAAGGTGACCAAAAGAACTTAGAAAACTATAGACCTATAAAATTACTATGTGTTGTATTTAAACTACTAACGAAGATCATGACAAATAGACCAACAACTAAGCTTGACGAATACCAAGCAAGAGAACAAGCGGGATTTAGAAAGGGTTTTAGTACTAGCGATCATCTGCTAACAGTAAAAATACTGATTGAAAAGTCGAACGAGTATCAAATCCCATTATACATGGCATTCATAGACTTCCAAAAGGCGTTTGACAGCATAGAACATTGGGCCATCAAAAAATCAGTACAGAACGGCAGAATTAATTACAGGTACACGGACCTAATAACAAACATATACAAAAATGCGAGTACCACAATAAAATTGACGAACGAACACACTACAGAACCAATAAAATTCGAAAGAGGAATCAGGCAGGTAGACACAATATCGCAAAAATTATTCATATCAGGCTATGGAAGATATATTTATAAAATTAGAATGGGATACATACAAATAAGAATAAATGGAGAGCTCTTGAACCACTTGAGATATGCAGACGATATAGTTCTGATAACAGATAAGACGAAAGAATTACAGAATATGGTTGAGGAACTGGATAGAAAAGCGACAAAGGTAAGTCTAGAGATAAACTATAGTAAAATCAAGACTATGACTAACCAAAAAGACCAATTAGAAATAGTAGTCAAACAGTATAAATTAGAGCAGGTGGCAGAATACATATACCTAGGACAGATAATAAAGCTGAACAGGGACAATCAAACAGAAGAAATAAAAAGAAGAACTAGACTAGCATGGGCCTCATTTGGTAAAACTATCTTATATTCTAAAAAATAAAAAAAAAATTAAAAAATTAAAAAAAAGGGGTTAGTCTTCGTAAGTGGGTATATTTATTTAAGAACCCTTAAAAGGGCTACATCAAAAAAACAAATGTTTTTGGACTAAACAATCCATCATCAGGTTTAAAATCGCTAGGTTAAAATGCCTGAGGAACCAAAAATACATGGATAAAACCCTTTAAATTACATATAGTTATAAAAGATTATACATCTTGTTGTTAAAAAACTGTGTTCAGTATTAATTTAAATATGACTTCAGGTAACATACATTGCATAAAATTAAGTTCCAGAGCCGGGGAGAAAACTCTACGCACGGAGAACAGCTGGAAACTGTTTACCACTGGTACTTGCTTAATATATAAAAAAGAATAAATAGTTTAAACACAAATGAATTTTTTTTTTTTTATTGAAAAATTGTTATAAATAAGCTTCTCGTGGTAAATTTTGGGTTATCTTTTTTACGGTAATATTGTAACATAATATTTATTCTTTGGATTAAAACAAGATTCAGCTTATGGATAAAAAATAAACAATGCATTTAGAACTTTAAAATTTAGATGTTTGTCAGGCCTATATATCCCGAAACGCGACGGTATATTAATTTGTTTATGAATATTTTAAAGTGACTTGTGCTATATTAAATCAAAATGGACTTGCGCATTTTGACTTATTTTATAAACTTTCACCTCATATTTTTTGTTTTTAAATTCGATGTAGACCCTATTGAAAAATGGCCTCAAATAACGTTCAAATCGGCATTTTTGTCATTTTTAATTGTTTATTTGCATTTTAAGTTTAAAGTAAGTATTTTACGAAAAAAATACAACAATAACGTCTTAGAATAATTCAAACTATTAAAAGAAAGTAATTTTCAAACAAAAAATATTTATTTTCCTAATTTGCTTAAGAATTGTTTAAGTAACTAATAATAAATAAATAAATAAGTTGCCATGACAATTTTTTCACCAAGAAGATTTTTTCCTTAAGGAAAATCTTAAATTTTTCTTTGGGATTTTTATTTTTAAAGAAATATTATTAAGTACTTTAAAGTATAAGGAATTAAATAGGATAATTTGTTTTTGTTTTCATAAAATCTGTTATAAATAAAATATTTACGAAGTTTTATTAAAAAAGTATATATTAACTTGTTAATAATTAAGTCCAAAAAATTGACTGCAGGAAGCATATAGGCTCTTGTTATAAAGGTCCATACTACTCAAAACAACTGTCGGTTGCCTGACCGGACGAGTGTCACGAAAAAAAGCTTATTTCCCCGAGCTAATTATTTTTAGTCCTAAAATTGATTTTTAGATGTTAAATCTCTGACGACTGGACTAAAACATTACGAAGAATATTAAATGACAATAATTTTATAATTAAATCATACACAATTATTTTGGTCGTCGTTTTTTAGGCTACTTATCGATACGTTTGTTTTAATATTTATATGGCGGTACATTGGGTTAATTTAACATTTTATAAATGATATTATCAAAAATAGTATCGTGTTTAATTTAATTAAAATATTTGCAGTTTCTGTAAATTATTTCCGCTTTATTTTTAATTAGTTTTACCTAGAACAACAGTTAATTTTAGTTTTTAATTTTCTCTTGTTTTAAGTAAAAAATATATTGAACTAATATATTCGTATTTTATATAAAATACTCCAATTATTCTGTTGCAGCTGTTTAGCCCTAAAGTTTGTATAGTGTTATTACAAAATTAGTTGTCAGAAGATAATAGCAAACAGCAAAACATAAGAGATAAGATAAAATAATTGATTTTGACTTTATACAAACCAGTTAGCGCAAAAAGTATATCTGGCATATATTCTAAATCGTTAAATCTAAACCAGAATTAACTATGATTTTATTTAACCGATAATTTCAAAAAAAAATTTCAGCTATTTTAATATTTAGTTTAACTAAATATTTTTTATAATAATGAACTACAATTAAAATAAAATATATTTTATATTTAGTGTTTCAATACGGTCTTGGAAATTGTTCTCAGAACTGTTTTCTTCTGGGAATTCAACTCGATGACCGATTTAATTACAAAAAACATATATAGTGGATTAATAACAGAGCTCCTCGCTTCCAAGGCTTCCAATGCCAAATATATGGGGGCCTAGTTTATACAGGCGAAAGGTATATTTAAAAATAGTAATAGACTCTAAAGTGGTCTTATTTATTGATATGCTATCCCAGTCTTGAAGAACGTAATAAAGTAAAAAAACTACATGAAAATGATGATAAGAATGCAAAAAAAAACCAATAAAAAAAGTGGTGAGCAAATAAGGGTCCTAGTTACATAATTATAAAGTCGAAAATCTCTAGTTTTGACCAAAATTGAGTTAGTTACTCAATAGATCAATAATCAATTATTCGTATTTAAACACCCTACACAAAAGAGAACAGGAATAGAAAACGGCATTATCCATCTATAAAATAGTATATAGGTTTAGCACAGCAATATCCGTGAGCGGCTTAGCAACCAATTTAATTTAACTCAGCCTGTGAGACTTACACTTAGGGTTAGACGCTACAACAGCTTTGGACAGCCGTCGTACTGCGTAACGCGCTCTCTCTTTTCTGCCTTCAACGACGACAGGATTTAGCAATTACCACCGAGTGAGCTAGTTGGATACCTAGGCCGAAGGTATAATGTTGTAGGATATACCAGGGTAGACTTGAACGAGCTGCAGACACAGCTTGATCGTATACATTGAGCGGGGCTTAAACCAGCATAAAAGCTGCTGGTACTAAAAACGTACTTGCTACCGAAGTATATTGACAAGTTGCAGAGTCCTACCATCTCAATGAAGACGTTGAAGGGCTTTGACAGGTCCGTGTGGACCGTGCAAGTTTAGCACGGCAATCTCCATGAGCGGTTTAGCAAGCAAGCACTCAATTTTTTCAACTTAGCCTGTGAGACTTGTACACTAGGGTGGAGTGAAACATGAAGAATTTATTTTTTATTTTTTATTCGAAATGTAATAGCGCGGAAAAGTTGCTTATTGCATAGAAGAGTACCCTGTTTTTTTATTTTTTTTCTACCATTTCATCTTCAGGGTTCTACAGGGTGAAACAAAATAATTTTTTTTTAATGTAATAGCGCAGATAAGTTGCTTACTGCATAGAAGAGTACCATGTTTTCTTAAGTTTTTTCTACTATTTCATCTTCAGGGTTCTACAGGGTGAAACAAAAAAAATATTAAATTTTTTTTTTCTAATGTAATGCGCGGAAGCTAAATATATTAATGACTATTAGGCTTGTTACCAACTTTTATAGTTTCAAAAAGTCTTCTATATTTAAATAGACAAGAAAATACAAATCCCTTATTTTATAAAAACCTTTAATATAGAAAACAATAAAAATCTCTAAAATAGAAAACAAACCATTTACTAAATAAACAGGTTCTCTTTAAAAACAGTTCAACTAAATATTATATCCTAGACTATTAAACGGAAATTAAACTGCTACTTGTCTTTAAATTCTTAAAAAACGTATGTACTGTATTGCGCCTTAGTGTTAAATCGAGATAATATGGTTCTTGAATGAATCCTTGCCCGAACAAATTCATCTCTGGAGTCATAGCCGAGGACAGAATTGGAAGCTTCTGTTATAACCTTCACACATCTTTCTACTGCTTGAGTATGACAAGGAAATGACAAAAAATTTTTGAAAAATTTCTTCACCATTAATACATTTTCTTATATCCTCATCAGTTATAGCACATAAAAGGGGAAGAATTGTAACAGATCAATTTTGCCAATCAATAAGTTCATAATATTCACTAGCATTGAAATTTAAATCAGGAATTAGAAATTCTCTTGCTGACGGCTTTCAACTCGTTGCTTAGGTAGCGTGACAATTGAATCATTTTAAAGACTTGTCAGGCTCCTTCACTACATGATGGCTTTGTTTTAATACTAAACCACATTGGCGCATAAACTTTTACCACAAATTCAGCCAAAGATCTTAAAACCAAAGACGGATTTTCACTTCCGACGTAAACACGCAATATACGATTTGCCTTTGTAACCCATCGTGCATATGATAATTTACCCGGATTACGAGTTGCTAAATCTATCGAGCACTTTCCACTAGAAACCGAATGACAAATTTCGTATAAGTACTTTTGATCACTGCTAAGGTCCCTTATAACTGCAGCATCTAATTGTGGTATAGTGGTATGAATAGGAACAAAATGGATTACTGGCAAATTTTCGCAAGACTTCAATAGTTTACCTATACTGCCAGAGTATTCACGAGGTCCCGAAGTTTCTCCATCGAGATATTGAAAGATATGCCGGAGGGGCAATTCATTCATGTGTAACAGACAAATTGACCACTGCAGAGGACGTTTCAGTTCTGTCTCTAAAAACCGTAAAACCCCATTCTTCCTCCCAGTGTTGACTGCTGTACCGTCGCAGCCTACTATTAAAAGATTACCTGTACCAAAACCGGATTCTTCAAAAAAATTTAATATAGATGTGGCAATATGTCTTCCTGTACCTGACGTTGGAGTAATGTGATTTAGATATTTAGAACCTGGTTCTTCAAGTAACGAAATGTGATCTTCGGTTTTTATCTTGCGATGAAGTTTATCTAAAACCTTTTCTTGGCACACAGTTTTGTCCTTTCTGCCATCGAAGTATAATCCTCTTATCTCTACGGTGGATGATTTAAATTCACTTTGCAGAGCAGAACGGTGTTTTTGACGTGCTCTTCGGAGCTTACTTCGGTCAATAACGGAAAGAGGTGTCATTTTTCGAAATAACTCTCAGATCTTGCAGTAGTGCAGATGCAAGTGCTGCTGCGGACCGGTCTGATATGCCAAATTGATCTAAAATCTGTGCTAAATTGGGAATAGATAATCTCATTTGCTGACTGGTACTGCTACGTGATACGATTGTTGAAGGTTCAGGTTTAACCTCATGCTTGTCTGAAATATTCTCAAGTTCATCCAACAACTCCGAATCCGATGAATGGGATATATTTTCTTCCTTGAAATTTGTAACATTATCATGTACAATATACTGGGAATTGTGATCTTTCAAGATAATTTTTGTCTTTTTGTTTTGAAATTCTTTCATACTCCTTGGCCTTAATTTGTCGTTTTTTTTTTGGCTTATAGTTTTTCCGTTTCGTTTACATCAACGTTCCCAATAACAAATTTTCTCTTTAATCGTTGATCTTGTATAAAGTCTCTTTCTAGAGGTGGTATTTTACGTTTTTTATCACAAACACATGAATCAAATATAACACATTTACATGCAGCGATACCAAAGAGTTTTCATGAATCCTCTTTGAACTTTTTTACTCTTCAATTATAAGTCTCATTGCGTTTTTGTTTTGGATATCTGATGAGAGTTTATTACTTACTCAGGATATCACGAATTAATCGAATAATACGATTGCTTGATACATAACATCTTCTACAGTTGGCAAAACATTAGAAGGTATATTCGCAGGTGCACCAAATATAGGACAATTAGTAGTGCCCTAGTATCTTTCACTGGCAAACTCATTACATACCGATTAATTATTACAATAACGATCTTATCTCTACGGCTATCACAGTGGGACTGAAGACTGAAGACTCAACTAACTTTGTCTTACTTACTTCGTCGAACCGATCTAGCACGAAACAGGTCAAAAAACGTTTCACGGGAAGTCTCTACCAGTGGCGTAGCATTATTTAATAAAAATTACCTATAAGGCGAACATTGAACATCATTTGATGAGTTTTTTGATCTGTTTTATTTCCAAAAATATTGCTCATAGTTTTACTTGGGTGACAGATAGAGCTCTAATAACATTATTTTTAACTAAAACAATAGAAAATAATTTACATCGATAAAAGCAGCTATTTTTATTTATTAAAAGCAAAAAATAACTAAAATCGATTTTTCTTGATTTTTTTCTTTTTTTGATGCGCGGTAGAGCCCTGACGATATTTTTATTTTCTACTGAAATTTTAGGAGCAAGTATACTATAGGTAGGGTCAACTTTTTGCAGGTATTACATGTCAAAAAATAATATCGATTTTTTCGCTTCACCCTATTGTACACCCCTTAAAAATGACACGCGGATGTCATTCATTGGGGCGTGCAGGATTAACTCTTGTACTCAGAAGTTACTCTACCACGCTTCAATGCTTCAGACCATCTCTTTCCCCCTATGGAACAAAGTGCTTGGCGTGTGGAAGACTGTTTGAGTTTTTTTCTGAATTGATGGCTATTTTCCATTGAGTACTCTATTTTTCTATGTTATCCAATGCTGTCTTTAAGTTTTTTATTTCATCTTTATGAATGTTTTCCTGGTATTCCTGGTATTCTCGGAACATCGGCGATGTATATTGTATACAGTAGAAGTAGAAGTAGAAGGACCGCTTCCTGTGGCAGATCGGCCTCCAGAGCTCCGTGCTCGGACAGGACTTGTCCTCTCCGAACTCCAAATCTCCGGCCGCCCAAGTGCGATAAGAATATTTCTGTCATAGCTCTGCTCTATCTATATCTTCTCATTTTGTAAGTCAGTCCTTTATACCAGGCTTTGTTTACGTCCAGGAAGGCATAAATTGATGGAAAAATCAAGCAGAAGCATTAGCGAATAGACATAACTAGTTACGGAGATGTTGAAGAAGAAGTACAACAACAAAGGTTAAAAGCAAGTAAAGGGGCGGTATCTAGTAATGAGACAATCTGGAAGAACCAACACTTCAGACGAGATACAAAAAGAAGAATCCATAAAGCAGAAATTAGACCTATATTAACATACACGGCGGAGACAAGACCTAACACATATAAAACAAGACGACTACTAGAAACAACAGAGATGAAAATACTTTGACGAATATTTAAGAAAATTTTGTTGGAATAAGCGCGAAAACATAAGAAGAGCACGCAATATGGAAGACATAAATGGATGAGTGACAAAACGAAAACAGGAGTGGAACGAACACATTAGTAGAATGGGAGGATAGGATATTAGGAATAGCAGGAGATAAGTCACCAAATGGACGAGGAAGTATTGGTAGACCAATAAAAAGATGGTGCGATGATTGACACAATTTAAGAGGCTAATTTTAAAGAAAAACAGGCATTAAAACCTACATACAAGGAGGAAGAAGAAAGAAGTAATATTTATGAAGCAATATTTTTTTAATTACTATTTATAACTGGAATAAGCCACATTAAAGATAAAAATACATTTATTGACGTTTCAATTTCCAATTCGGAAATCGTTCTCAAAATACAAATAGTAAAATTAAACAAATTTTGTTTTTTGTTACATAGTGAAAAAAATTCTTCTGATAATTTTAATTTTATCTGACTCATTTATATTGACAATTCAGACATACATTATGCATTTTAAAGTAGACGACTTTAAAATGATATTGCCAATATTGTTGAGTTGCGCTCCTGGGACGACTTTACTTATAAGATAGTTCATTCGATTACATGAAATCAACTTTAACTTGAGAATATCCGTCAGAAAAAATCATAGCATGTAATTCGTCTTTAAAAAGACAAACACATGACATGATGACAGTAAAATTCTCCTGTTAGTGATTCCATAGTAAATTATGAGGGAAAAACCAGGAAAAAAACCTCATAATACTATCCCGACATTGTAAGTATTTGTTCGTGAATTTAGTTTACCTTCAACAAACATCAAAATTCTGATTTTATGTTACGTTATTTAAAAAACATAAATGATGTATCCTCTATAATGTTACTGACTTACAATGTCGGGATAGTATTATGAGGTTTTTTTTCCTGGTTTTTCCCTCATAATTTACTATGGAATCACTAACAGGAGAATTTTACTGTCATCATGTCATGTGTTTGTCTTTTTAAAGACGAATTACATGCTATGATTTTTTCTGACGGATATTCTCAAGTTAAAGTTGATTTCATGTAATCGAATGAACTATCTTATAAGTAAAGTCGTCCCAGGAGCGCAACTCAACAATATTGGCAATATCATTTTAAAGTCGTCTACTTTAAAATGCATAATGTATGTCTGAATTGTCAATATAAATGAGTCAGATAAAATTAAATTATCAGAAGAATTTTTTCACTATCTAACAAAAAACAAAATTTGTTTAATTTACTATTTGTATTTTGAGAACGATTTCCGAATTGGAAATTGAAACGTCAATAAATGTATTTTTATCTTTAATGTGGCTTATTCCCAGTTATAAATAGTAATTAATTTACAATGCCACAAGAAAATAGCTTCAGAACAATATTTTTTTATTTTTGACAACTGATAATTATTACAATGCGATGTAAATAGATATTTCCAGAAGCTTCCAATTTCGCAATATTCTTTTTCATTACAAAGCTATGTTAATAATGTAGTGTGTTAAAAAATTAACAGTTAACTCTCTAGTAACGACGCGTAAATAAAAAAGGGTACATTACTGAAAATGATAGTTGGTTTTTGTTGTCACCTTTAGCTTATAAATTTAGAAAGGTTTGCACATTTTTTTCGTATTCATTAGACGATCGTCAAAATGTCACATCAAGGTAAATGGATGTCTGATTATTTCTGAAAGCTTTTATGTTATCAAAAGGGGCAACATAATATGCTTAAAGGGAGTTTCGCCACTGAAAGAACAAAAGGACGATATCGCAACTTTTACGTTCATGGAAATTTGTTTTTAATTAATGGATTAACATTAAAGATTGCAATAAATATGTTAATGGATGTTTTTATTAAAAAATTTACTTTATGTAAATGGTTAGAAGATTATAAAAGAAATGTGAATTAAGTTATTTAAAAAGTTAGGAAATTATTATGGGACGTTCCACGGGCTCGGATGAGATTTTAAACAATTTTGATTTAAAACTCTTTAAAGCAACAACATTTAAAACAGATTTAAGTCATTTTAAGTCACTTTTAGGTGAGCGGAGAACCCAGAAAAAGATAGCCACGACCTATAATTCATTGGCTACCGGGCAAATTTGGTTCCAAAATGTTTTTATTACAGTTGTTTTAATTAGTATTGTTTGACTGGACTGGAGAAATAACTAAATATACAAGAAAAAAGTAAAAATGTTGATTTTATCATCATGATATATCAGGTCAGTTAAAATATTTCGATTTCTATTTTGACACATTGTACACTGAAAATTTCCACAAAAAACTAACTACATTCGAACTAAAAGAACATTTTTTAAAATCCTTTATAAAAGGTATATCATTAAAACACCCAATCGAAATTATATCACAAAACGTTTTTTGGAATGGATATTCCATCATCAGTGTGTCTAGGAGTACATGTTTTGAGCCACTAAATATTTGGGTAAAAACCCGTTAAATGTTGTTAACTGGTAACTTTAACATATTAATATATAAGATTAAATAACGTAACCTAAATTTAAATTAATAACGTTAAACGAGTTTTACCCAAATATTTAGTGGCTCAAAACCTGTACACCTAGACACACTGATGATGGAATATAAATTCCGAAAACGTTTTGTGATATAACCTAATTGATACAATTTGATCTTTTCTATAACCATTTTTCTATTATTATTGTATTGGGATCAGTAAGGTGTCTTTCTGTTCTTTTAGCATCTTATTTGTTCTCCATATTTATCTCATTATTTTTAGTTTTAATTTTATCTACTGTCATTATTCCTTTTAATATTCTCTCTACATCTCTGTGATAACTCCGCCTGGGTTGTCAGATGGGTGGATTAAGTAGCTCTTAACAGGTAGGCACTGCCGGTCCCAAGCCCGGATAAAGGAGG